TTATATTCACTGTCTTCACTCAGTCTCTTTTTATTCTCTTTAAACCTATTCTAGTCAGATTTCTGTCTCCATCACTTCACTGCCTCTGTTCTTGTGGAGGTCAGCAATCACCTTCTTATTGCCCAAATCAGTGGGCAGCTCCCAGTTGTCATCTTTCTTTCTCTGGAAAGACACAGCTCCCTCCTTTTTGGATCAGTGTCTTCACTTGTTTTCTGGAGTACCATGTGGTCCTAATGGGTCTTAGAAAACTAAGCTGTAAATATTGAATTATCTTGGGACTCAATCTTCAGACCTTTTTTCTTTTCTGTCTTTATTCACTCCTTAGTTAATAAAGTGAAAACCAATTTACCATGGTTTAATTATTTTTATTAAAAAATAGTGAGTGTGATAGGTAATATAGTCACAAGATTTAAAATTCAAAGTAAGAAATGTTACATGGTGAAATGTCATTCTTCCACCCCTGGCCCTCAGCCATCAAATTCTTTTCCCTGAAGACAATCAGAGTTGCCAGTTCCTTACATATCTTTCTAAAGATATTTTATGCATATACATATTCAATGAGAGGCAGTAATGGTATACTGGTTAAAAGATTGGACTGTTGGGCCAGCCTGGTGGCGCACTGGAGAGTGCGCCGCTTGGGAGCGCAGTGGCGCTCCCGCTGAGGGTTCGGATCCCATGTGGAGACCAGTTCCTGCTCACTGGCTGAGCGAGGTGCGGGCGCAACACCGAGGGTTGCGATCCCGTTGCTGGTCCCCGGTACGGGCGCGATACTGAAGGTTGCGATCCCGTTACCGGTCAGTAAAAAAAAAAAAAAAAGATTGGACTGTGGAGCAAGACTGCCTGTAATCAAATTCTGTCTCTGCCAGTTACTGGCTGTGTAACCAGCAAGTCTCTTAGCTGACCTGTAGCTGAATTTTCTCTTACATAAAAAGGGAATAATAATATAAGTACTTATTTTATATACTTGTGAGGTATAAAAGATTAAGTATGTTTAAAGGGCTTAGAAGAGTAACTGGCACATAAAATAAATAATGTTTTTTCTTTTTATACAATTGATAGCATAATATATAGTCAGGCATCTTGCTTTTTTAAAAAATCAGCAAATATGTTGACAAGATTTTCCTAACAACACACAAATCATGCCTCATTTTTTCTAATGGCTGAATAATTATCCATTGGATGGATGTGCCATCCAATTTTATGGCTGTAAGTACCAACATCTTTGATAATGACTTACAAAATATGTATCTACTAGGCATCTCCACTTAGATACCTAATATGCAAAAACCTTTCTACCCTTGCCTTTTCTGTTTTTCTCATTTCCTTCATTATAACCTAACGAATTATTTCAACTCTACCTTTAAAATATACCTCATATGTAACCATTTCTATATACCTATTGCTACCACCTTAATCCAAGCCAGTATCACTTCACTGATTTGCTGAACATCAAAAAGTTGAGAATCATTATCGTAAACTTTTTTTTTTTTTTTTTAATGATGACCGGTAAGGGGATCTTAACCCTTGACTTGGTGTTGTCAGCACCACGCTCAGCCAGTGAGCAAACCGGCCATCCCTATATGGGATCCGAACCCGGGGCCTTGGTGTTATCAGCACCGCACTCTACCAAGTGAGCCAGGGGCCGGCCCCATTATCGTAAACTTTGGAAAAAATGTTTTTAGCTCTCCTCCACTATTTGGTCTTTTTCTATTTTTATTCTTCTGTAGTGTTCACACAGCAGTTTAAGGTGTAAATCAGACTGTTTCTCATTACTCCATGTTCTCCAGTCAGTCTTACCCCACTTCAGTTTAATTCCAGAGTCCTAACCTGGCTATTACTTTCTTCTGAACCCCATCTGCTGCCTCTGCCTACCTCTGTGCTCCAGCCACACTAAACAGCTTGCTCTTTTATCAGTGCCCTCCTCATAACAATTTACCCCATAACCTTTGCCCTTTTTATCCCTCTCCCTGGAACACTATTCTGCCATATAATCAATCACATGCTCATTCCCTTACTTTATGTTCAAATGCCAGGCCTTCCTGATCCACCATCTAAAATAGCACCCTCCACTTTCTAACCTTCTTACTTTATTTTTCTGTATAACATTTACTGTTAACTGCCTTTTTTTGTATATTTTCTCTTTGTTGTCTCCTCCTCACTAGAATGTAAAAATCACAATGGTCTGTTCTTTGTTTTGTTCACTTTTATATCTCTGGTGCCTAGAACAGTGCTCAGTATATGATGAATCAGTAGATGAAGGGGGAGCACTAAATAAGTGCTTCTTGAACTCTGCAGTGAAAGACCAGTTTTTTAATTAACAGTCTTTCATAATCTAGTAGTTTTGTAAAATGCAATAAAATTAATTTCAAGAAAAATGAAATATATTTTAGTATCATCTTACTATTAGATTCAACAAACATAAAATTGCTATCAGATTGCTATAAAAAATTTTAAACACTTTCAATTTTGTACTTACAATGAACTTTTAAGAAACTGTTTGTGGGGCCGAGCCCGTGGCGCACTCGGGAGAGTGCGGCGCTGGGAGCGCAGGAGTGCTCCCGCTGCGGGTTTGGATCCTATATAGGGATGACCAGTGCACTCACAGCGCTCACTGGCTGAGCGTGGTACAGCCAGTTTCAAAAAGGACAAAAAAAAAAAAAAAAGAAGAAGAAGAAACCGTTTGTGGTCAGCACCTATTTGCAGACCACACTCTTAAGTAGCACCGTACTTGAACATGTTCACCTTTCTATAGCCAGCATTAAAATATGAAAGCTAAATGAAATATTCATCTTGACGTAACTGGTAGACAAGAAGAAGCCACTTCAAAGCCCACATCACAGTATCAAGGCTGACTTCCTACAGGATAATTAATTTATAAAATGGTTCTATTAGCACTACCAGTAAAATTGAATAAGTATTCACTCTACGCAGAAATCAGTCTTTTTCAGTGGAATTAGTAAAACATCATAATCCCCATGTTGTATCTATTTCATTAATTAGAGGTCTGTCTTCAGTAGCTGTTTATTGTTAATGTGTTGGTCAGTGAACTGAAAATTTCAGTGAAGTCTCAATTTTACAGGTTTAGAAATATTTTCCTCAGAGAGTAAATACCGATATATCTAATATTTTTTGGATCATTTTTCATTTTCTTGTTGGTTTTAGTATGTTGGTTATTTTGTTGTTTATGTATCTGGTCTATGAGAAGGGTTATTACATAACGACAGTTGGCATTTGGGATCTGGTTTCACGAGGAGTATATATCCGAAAGCAAAAGTCATTAAATTGAAGAAAAGCTGCACCTCAGCTTCCACTGGTGAATTCTAGTCAGAGTTGGCATTAATTTTAATGCTTTCCAACTCCTAGATCTTCAAGTCATTTTGCTTTTGAGATCTAAAAGAATATAGTGGATTAAGCTTCATTGGCTATCACTTTCTATACTCACAACAAGCTCTGATAAGCTGGTCTTATCCCTGACTGGGGCCATTTGAATGCCCCAGATCTCTCTCAGCTTTGAACGATTCTCCTTTCTTATACAGACTAATTTTAAAAAGAACTTGTTAACCTTCACAGTATAGTCAGATTCTACTACTGACAATGCATAAAACACTGTGAAATCACTATCTTGTACTGTATTTTGAAACACAAGATTTTTTCTCAGTTTACCATTTGAGACACTGTATCTCAGGAAAAGAAACATTTTCATTAAATGCATTTCTAAATGGTCACTAACTTAAATACATTTGTTTTAAAGATTTTTTATCTTATATTTTGGTTTAAGGGCAGCATCAATCACTATTAACATAGAGCTGGCCAAGATGTAGATAAGAGTTTCAGAATAACAAAGTGGGTGTGTGTGTAGATAGATGAGTAGATATACAGGTACAGCATTATGTATGTATGTTTACATATGTAATTAAAGTGAAATAGTGAAATTTTAAAAGAAATGCATGCATGTTTTTAGTTATAGATATATTTGCAGATGAGTGAATCAGTTCTAAAGCACTGAACAGTTCATTTATATAACTGAATATTCACATTTGCAGGTGAATAAACTAAAAGGAACAAAAGGGAAATTATTTACCAGCACAAAGTCTCTTTTTATTCCTTTAGCAGTATTTCCTATACTCTCACTATCTCAATAATGAAAATAAATATGAATAGACAACTGAAAGTTTGAGGTTTGTGTCATACCTGTTTGTCAGAGGACATGAAATATAAATTTGAAGATATTTAATAGGATTTACAAATACAAGTGAACATTTAAAAGTACATTAATGCTGTGACTGGGGAGGATAGGTTGGTTAGAAATTCACAGAATACATTTGCAAGAAACTAAATGAGTTTCATAGGATCAGTGTGTTTTTCAGGGGGTAGAGGTTGTGCAACTCATTGAGGTGAGGATCAGGGAGAGGACCATCTTTGGGAGTAAAAATCATGAATTGATTCTGTACATTTAAGACACCTTTGATACATCTAAGTAAAGGTATTAAGGACGCATTTATATACACAGATATGGTCAGAAGAGGGATCTAGGCTTGATTAGTATGCCCTCACTAAGGTATATGTATTTGGCACCTTTGATACATCTAAGTAAAGGTATTAAGGACGCATTTATATACACAAATATGGTCAGAAGAGGGATCTAGGCTTGATTAGTATGCCCTCACTAAGGTATATGTATTTGGGAGAAAGAGAAAGGAATTGTTGAAGATACTACTTAAGTCCTTCCTTCTGATAGTGAGGATGAGGCAGTTTTTAAGTGGGCAATGTTAACAAGCCAAGCTATTTTCTATAGAGGTAGAGAAAATTAGTTGGCAAACTAAGAAGATGAGTTTATTTCTCTAAATTAATTACCTTTTTTAAAAAAAATTAAGATATGCCTGGATTATAAAACAAATTGAATAGTTTCCTTTCTTCATCCATTTGCTTTATAAATTTGTAGTCTTATGGATGAAGGTTTGATTAATAGGTGAATATTACAATATTCCTTTATTTCATAGCCATGAAGCTCATGACTGCTCTGGTGAATGTTGCCTTAAACCTCAGTATTCATCAGGATAATACACAGAGACAATATGAAGCTGAGAGAAACAAAATGATTGGGAAGAGAGCCAACGAAAGGTTGGAGTTACTACTTCAGAAACGCAAAGAGGTAAGTTTGTTTCATGGTAACTGATGTTCTTATGTACTGTAAATGTGTATTAAATGTAGTAATTTTTTTGTTCTGTGTAAAAAGGTTTGTGTATATTTTTAAAATTTATTTTTAATTAGATTACTTGATCTCAAAGTTTTCAAATGAAACTGGAATGTTCACCAGTTATTGTGTTAAGTGCTATCTGATGGCAGAAGGAATTCATAGAACAACCCTACTTTTGTAAGGAAGTGGTCTGGGAATTGGGCAACTCAGAGGAGTTATCAGGTTAGGGGCTAAGAAAGCATGATAAATACTAAAGTCAGAGCTGGGGGCCAGCAAAGGTGTATTTCCAAGAGAAAGCGAAAGACTACATACTAGCTGATGTGTAAGGCATTCCTGTGAATAAGATTGGTCCCAGCTTTACAATGACATTTTCACATATGTGTTGAAAATATGATTTTAAACTGGGTTTTTAGTAGGAAACATTTTTGTTTGTCCAGTAGGAAATAAAACTTTAGAGCTGCCGTATTAGTCTATCTTTTAACTTGAAAAAAAAAAAGTAATATCACATTGCTGCCAAGGAATTGCATATGAACGATGAATAATGGGTTATAACAAGCAATAAAAAAGCAACAAAGTTGTGATTAAATTATTACCCATACTGTACTATTTAATAGGGCTTTTGTTAAAAAAAACAAAGTACCACAAACAGAAAGGCTTAAACAAAAGGAATTTATTGTCTCATGGTTTTTGAAGTTAGAAATCCAAAATCAAGGTGTTGGCAAGGCCGTGCTGCCTCTGAAGGCTTGAGGAAGGATCTATTCCAGTTTTCTCTCAAAGTTTCTAGTAGTTTCTTGAATTGTGGCAGCAAAACCAACCTTCACATGACATTCTCCCGTGTTTGTGTGCGTGTATGTCTCCAAATTTATCTTTTTCATAAGGACACTGGTCATATTAGATTAGGAGCTCACCCTACTCCAGTATGGCCCCATCTTAATGAATTACATCTGCCACAACCCTATTGCCAAATAAGGTCACAGGAGTTAGCACTTCAACATATAAATTTTAGAGGAATGCAGTTTAACCCATAATACATACCATACTTGAAATATGGAAGTAAATATTGTAAATGGAGTGTAGTAAGTTCTGCTGACTAAAATGTATACCTCTTATAAGTTAGTTTTTATATAATAAATGCAGCAAAAGTAACTCTTAGAATTTGCAGTATGCTACAGTAATTTGGATGATTTACTATAAAAGTATTCTCAAACTTATTTCAGTAAAATGTGAAATAAAACATACAGCAAAAGAATAAGTCTGGACTGGCCAGTTAGCTGAGTTGGTTAGAGTGCAGTGTTATGTACCTGCTAGCCGCCAAAGGAAAAAAAAAGTCTGAAGAATTTTATTTTCACATTCATGTGTGTAATACAAGCAAATATTTCACTGAATATTACTGCACAGCAAATTACAGGACAAATTAGAGTAATAAATACTAACTTGAATGTAATTTTATATCATTGCTTTTGTTATTTTTGAGTGGTAAATAAACTTTCATTGGTAGTGTTGCCAGAAATTTACGTCTTTGCTGTAGTATTTTATTTCCTTGCTGCATTCCACCACTAGTGGCCAGCATTCTATCTTTTATTATGTTCCCTATTTTGGGAACTTGGCCTATGTATTAGTCCATTTTTTATTGCTATAACAGAATACCTGTGACTGGGTAATTTATAAAGAAAAGAGATTTATTTGGCTCACAAGTCTGGAATAGCTATATCTGGAATGATCCTCAGGCTGCTTTAGCAAAAAAAGCAGCAGGGCAGCCGACCTGTACAAGGAGATTACGTGGCTAGATAGGAAGCTAGAGAGGGAGGGAAGGTGCCAACCTCTTTTTAACAACCGGCTCTCCAGGGAACTCAGAGAGAGAGAGCTCACTCACCATCCCTCTCCCCAAGGAGGACATTAATCTGTTGATGAGGGATCCATCCGTATGACTCAAACACTTCCCACTAGGCTCTACCTCTCAACACTGCCAAATTGGGGATCAGATTTCAACATGAGCTTTGGGAGGACAAACATTCAAATTTTATCAGCCTACTTTCAGTTATGAGCTAGTCAGATGGAGAATAATATTTGCATACTTTAGATGGAGTAGGAAGTTTCCTATACAGTGGCATATATGTTAATCACAGATGATCCATTAACCTAGGAAGGCAAAAGCAAGCCAAGGACCTGGTTTGGACAGAAGAGGTATAAAAATTGAGGACTGTTCCCAAAGCAGATGATATTTTTGAGATAGAATTCTGACCATACTTAGCCACAGCACCCCTCCTTGTTAGTCATTGTGTAGTATGTCCATAGAGAGATTGAGAGACTCTGAAGCAATGCTGTAAACCTTTAGAAATCACACACCTATACTGGTAATTTCAGACATCTGTTACACAAGTGAGAAAAAGGACTGATAACTACCCAGGAAGAGAATAACCAGGAATTAAAAAACAATTGGAACTATACATTCCAAATAAAATGATCAGTATTTCAATTTACATTTTTTATTGTTTTTTCATTTCAGCTACAAGAAAATCAGGATGAAATCGAAAATATGATGAACTCTATTTTTAAGGGTATATTTGTTCATAGATACCGGTAAGGGATTTTAAAAATCATTTAGGTTTTTAATTTAAATAATTATTGCTTATTTGTAGCCCAGGCTAATTATAAAGCTATAAAACTCTACTAATCATTACTCCTGTTTTGTTTTGTTTTCTGGAAAACAACTTCAGCTATAAATGCTAAGTAAATGTCATGCTATAACTGAATAGAATATTGTACCACTGCCTCCACTACTGCTGCTATTCACTTCCAAGTTTAGAACATACACTGTTGAAGGCAGTTTATGTACTTGTATTTGTACTGATAGAATATTAATAAGATCATTAAATTAATGTGGCCTTAATAAGATATTATTAATTTCACATTTGAAAAAATTAAATGCTCTACTTCCTACCCTGTGGTACCTACCTTGTTTCATGGTCAAATTAATCAGTATTATTTTTTTAAATACCTCTGTGAAGATGGGAGAAAACAGAAGAGAAAAGGGGGCACCCATGCAGATAATGTGGTGACTACATGTTCACTTTTGTTTTTCACCAGTAAACATGAAAGTAGTTGCTGTTAGCAAGCTATTTTTGTCATATATGAGTTTAGTTTATCTTTCTAAGTCTGAAAACCTTTAAGCTACTAACTGCATTGTAAAAGAGCTTATTTCACATAGAATTAATGAATTGTATACATATATTTATTATCTTTTGTTAATTAGATATGATATGTATAAGTAGATAGACACAGATAATAGAAACACTATTTTCAGACACATTTGAGATTGCAGTCGGCCGATTAATATAGAGATAGTTAAAGCAGAGAAATAATTCAATTAATGTATGTTATTAATATGTATTAATGATATATATTTATGTATGGGCATATACATTACTTTGATATTTTATTTTAACAGAACTTAAACATTTTAACTCAAAATATATAAAGATCTTTTGAAATTAGACCAAGGACTTGACTTTGCACATGGGTTGTCTGATTGGAGTTTTATATCCTCTTTCTTACATAAACTACACATATGAGGTTCTTCAAAAAGTTGGTGGAAAAATAGGGTTAAAACATAACATGAATCTTTCCATGAACTTTTTGAGGTACCTTTGTATTTGTACTTTTGATTTTTGTTGTTTTTTGGTCTGGCTTCTTTCTCTAAGCAAAATTGAAGTCTATCACCATTAAGTATGTTAACTGTAAGTTTTCATACATGCTCTTTATCAGATTGAGGAAGTTTCTAAGAATTTTTGCATCTGTGTTCGAGAGGGATAAGTATCTCTTACTTTTTGATTTAATGAATATCTCTGACTGCTTTTGGTACCAGGGTAATACTGGCTTTGTAGATTGAGTTACTATATATTCGGTCGTCTTTACTTTTCTGGAAGAGTTTAATAGAATTGGTGTTATTTCTTCTTCAGATATGAGTTCTACCATTGGGACCCAGAGTTTTCTCTGTAGGAATGTTTTTAACTACAAATTAATTTTCTTTAGTAGATATAGGGCTGTTCATATTATGTGTTTTACTTGAGTAATCTATGGTAGTTTAAGTCTTTACAACATTCATCTAAGTTGTTGAATTATGTTTAACAACTGTTGGCATAAAGTTGTTCATGATATTGGTGATTTCACCTCTCTTTTCTTCTCTCCTTTCCTTCCTCTCTTCTCTCTCTGTTCAGTCTGTCTGGAGCTAATTAATTTTATAGATTTTTCTTAATGATGTTTTGGTTACATTGAGTTTCTCTATTATTTTTTTTTCTTTTCTATTTCATTGATTTCTGCTCTTCTGCTTACTTTGGGTTCACTTCCTCTGCTCTATTTAGTTTCTCAGGTGAAACCTGTGGTCCTTGACGTTTCTCTATTATTTTTTTTTCTTTTCTATTTCATTGATTTCTGCTCTTCTTACTTTGGGTTCACTTCCTCTGCTCTATTTAGTTTCTCAGGTGAAACCTGTGGTCCTTGATTTGAGGCCTTTCATTTTTTTCTAATATAGGAATTTATTCCTATATATTTCTCTCTAAGCACTGCTTTAGCTATGTTCCCTAAATTTGGATATGTTGTGTTTCCATTTTCATTTAGTTTCAACATACTTTCTACTTTCCCTTTTTATTTTTTTCCTTGACTCATGGGTTATTTTAAAGTGTAGTATTTGATTTGTAAATATTTGAGGATTTTTAAAATATCTTTCTGCTATTGATTTCTAATTTAGTTCTATTGTAGCAAGAGAACACATTTTGTATGATTTGAATGCTTTTAAATTTATTGAGATTTGTTTTATGGCCCACCATTTGTTTTATGGTCTATCTTCGTAAATGTTCTATTTGCTACGGAAAGAATTTGTATTCTGCTTTTGTTGGTTAGTGTTTTTTGTCAATTAGGTCAAATTGGTTGACAGTGTTGTTCAAATCTTCTGTCCTGACTGATTTTCTGTCCATTTATTCTAACAGTTATTGAGAGGGGTTTTAGAGGAGTACTTTTTCCTTTCCTTTCCTTTTTTTTTTTTTTTTTTTTTCCCCCAATCCCATCTGGTCAGGGACGATTCTTGTTAAGGACTCTATGCAGAGTCCCATGGAGACACAGGGAATCACATAGCGAGGGCTAAGAGTGCCTTTACATGCTTTCCTTATGTATTATTCAGGGTTCTCCAGAGAGACAGAATCAATAGGACATGTTATAATTATATGAGAGAGATTTATTAGGGGAATTAGCTCACGTGGCTATGAAGAAAAGTCCCAGAATAGGCCATCTATAAAGTGGATGCCGGTAGCTTGGCTCTGTCCAAGTTCAAAGGCCTCAGAACCAGGGAAGCTGATGGTGTCCTTGGTGTAAGTTCTGGAACTCAGAAGCTGAAGAGTCTCAAGCTCTGATGTCCACAGACAGGAGAGAAGAGTGTATCCCAGCTCCAGCAGATCGAGAGAGACAGAGAGCTTCATCTCTGTCCTCTGTCTTCTGTTCTCGCCGGACCCCCAGCAGATTGGATGGTTCCCACCCACACTGAGGGTGGGTCTTTCCCACCCAGGCCACTCAGACTCTCATACTAATCTCTGCTGGAAACACCCTCATGGACACACCTGAAAAGATTGCTTTACTAGGTTTCTCAGCATTCCTTCATCTAACCAAGTTAACATCTAGAATTAACCTTCACACCTTATAAAGCCACCAGTCCACACCTATGATAACCCATTAATAGATTAATCCTTTCAAGAGGGCAGGGCCCTCACGACCCAGTTGCCTCCTCAGCCCTGCCTTTTCAACACTGCCACATTGGGGATCAAGCTTCCATATGAGCTTTGGAGGGGACAAACATTCAGACCATAGCATAAGGGTGTAAGTCTTCTCTTTACATATAGATATTCAATTGTCCAAGCACCATTAAATGTGCCCAGGTGAATTGCCTTGTCACTTTGCTTGAAAATGAATTGGTCATAAATGCAAGATTTTATTTTTGGATATTCTAATCTGTCTCTCCTTACACCCATATCACCTGAATTGAGTAACTTTATTTTTTTATTTTTTATTTTTTTTTGTCTTTTGTCTTTTTCCGTGTCCGGCAACGGATCGCAACCCTCAGTGTTAGAATAAGCTTTTTAAATTAGGTAGTGTAAGTCCTTCTACTTTGTTCTTTTTTAAAATTGTTTTGTTGATTATAAGTCCTTTGCATTTCTACATAAATTTTAGAATCAGCTTGTCAAGTTTTGCACAAAAGCTTCTGAAATTTTGATACAGATTGTGATGAATCTATAGACCAATTTGTAGAGAATTGTCCTCTTAATACTGAATTTTTCAGTCCACAAACATAGATTGTATATGTGTTGACTAGACGTTCTTTAATTTCTCTTATTAATTTCTAATGATTTTTAGTATACAAATCTTACACTACTTTTGTTAAATTTATTTCTAAGTGTTTTTATCTTTTTATGTTATTGCAAATGGGATTGTTTTCTTAATTTGTTTTGGACAGTTTCTTGCTAATATGTAAAAATACAATTGATTATTTTTTTATTTGTGCTAAATTGCAAAATAATTTTATTGTAGTGGTTTTGGGTTTGTTTTTGTTTTTTATAGATTCTTGAGGATTTTCGACCTACAGGATCATGTCATCTGTGAATAAAGACAGTTTTAATTCATACTTTCTGTTTATATATCTTCATTATCTTCCCCCTTCCCCTGTTGTACTGGCTAGAATCTCCAGTACAATGTTTAATAAAAATGGGCAGACCTCTCTGCCCTCATCTTTGCTTTTGTTCCTGATCTTAAGGGGAACAGAGATTAAGTGTGATATTATTAGATGTAAGTTTTGTGTAGATGCCTTTAGGAGGATGAGGAAATTCCCTTCTAATGTAACTTGTTGGGTGTTTTTATCATGATTGGTTGTTTGAGCATGGTATACAATCCTTTTCATCTGCTGCTTGATTCAGTTTCCTAACATTTGGTTGAGAATTTTTGTGTCTACTTTTATAAATAGAGTATTAGTCTGAATACTAGCCTCATAAAATACACTGAGAAGTGTTCCCTTCTCTGTTTTCTGAAAGAGTTTATGAAAGATTGGTATTATTAATATATTTGGTAAAATTCACAAGGGAAGCCCTTCGAACACAGGCTTTTTTTGTGTGTAAAGATTTTATATTACTAATTCAATTTACTTGTTATAGATCTATCCAGATTTTCTATTTCTTATTGAGTCAAATGTGGTGATTTGTGTTTTTCAGGCAATTTGTCCATTTCATACAAATTGTAAATTTGATGGCATAATGTTGTTCATGTTATTTTCTTATAATCCTTTTAATTTCTGTAGGGTTAGTAGTAATGTCCCCTTATTCATTTCTTGATTTTGTAATTTGTGTCTTTTCTCTTTTTTTGTCTTGGTCAGTCTAGGTAGAGGTTTATCAGTTTTGTTGATCTTTTCAAAGAATGGACTTTTAGTTTCATTTACTTTCTCTATTTTTAATTTCATTGATTTCTGCTTTAATCTTTGTTTCTTTCTGTCTAATTGCTTTGATATTAATTTACTCATCTTTTTCGTTTCTTATGATGTAAACTTA